TAACACCGACACCCCCTAACGAGCGCGCTTCGCTTGCTCACTACCGCCCCTCCCTAAAATAAGATCCTAGCTCCGAGCCTGCATTAAAATATATAGCTATGATGTTGACTAGGTTGACAAAATAATTCGTATATTTATGTCGTCGAGGAAATTGATCATTTGCGCATACGCAAGTACTATAGATAGTCCATAGGAAAAACAATTTAGCCTTCGGCCCCGGGTTTATAGGGTTATTTGTAGATATTGAGACACTTAATTTTGTCGGTAATTGGTGGCTAGTTTTGTCGGTAATCGTTGGCCTCTACACCCCCCCCCCCCCCACTGAAAAAGGTCTAGCGACGCCCCTGATACGTACAATGTATTAGGTCATCGTGGAAGTTCTAGAAAGCAACAGGGGAGGGATCAAAATAAGCTTTGAAGGGCACTTATACGTAAAGAAGAGAACCCATTCAGACGGGAAAATTAGATGGCAGCCTTTTTGCTTATTCCCATTTATACAAATCATTTTGTTGCAGTTTGATGTCAGTTCTTCACGATAAGCCAATTGCTCTTCTTCCGGTGGTTCCGTGAGTCCCTTAAAGTCAGTGAAAACAAAGTACTCGAATGAGACGGGGTGTTTTACACACTAATATATTATATAGTAAAGCTACATACACTTAACTGAAGGAAAGAAACCTATAGAAGACGGACTGGATATTATTGAAAATACTATTCTAAACAAGAATGTACTACATGTACTACATTACGTTACAATTTCACGAGAGAACTAGAACTCGAGAGGGGAAGAAAAGAAGAAGTGATGAAAATGAAAGAAGACTAATAGCATGAGAGGAAAGAAAAGAGCTAACAAGACAAGAAAGGGTGTAAAAAGGAAAAGAAAGAGCAAGAGAGAGAGAGAGAGAGAGATATCCTTGAGCTTTTGATCGGCTAATGAGTAATAAATGAAACAGATTTTGAGCGGAGTAATTATCTTTCGCTGGAGAACTTGCATAAGGAGCTAAAACTTGATGTTTTTTTAAATCAAACATTATGGGGAATAGCAAAAAACGGCTGGGCATTTATTGCACTAATTGCCAGAGGAGCATTCATGTCTTCCACGAAGCCGCACTTTTGGATCAGAGAGCAATTTAATTGTCGGCGGAGCATTGTCTTTTGCGGGGTACTTTTGGGGAGAAGCAACAATTATTGTCGTAGTAGCCTTTGTATTTTACGGGGCACTTTTTTAGCGGAGCAAATGTCGGCGGAGCAATTGTCGGCGGAGCAAATGTCACCGGAGCAATTGTCGCGTTTTGCGGAGCAATTGTCGGCGGAGCAAATGTCGGCGGAGCAATTGTCGGCGGAGCAATTGTCGGCGGAGCAAATGTCGGCGGAGCAAATGTCGGCGGAGGAATTGTCGGCGGAGCACATGTCGGCGGAGCACATGTCGGCGGAGCACATGTCGGCGGAGCAACTGTCGCGGAGCAACTGTCGCGGAGCAATTGTCGCGTTTTGCGGAGTAAATGTCGGCGGAGCAATCGTCGGCGGAGCATGTGTCATGGAACCGATATTTTGCCTTGCAAATTATGCAAATATCTTACATTTTGATGGATCGTTTCTTTTTTGATAAATCAGATGTAAACTCCCGTGCGCGAATTAAGGTCTCAGGGCTCAAATTAATTTTTTGTCCACGGGGGCTCTTCCCCCGAAAAAAGAGCCCCCGTGAGCCTTCTCACGGGCTCTTTTATTACTGACGGGGGCTCTTTTTTTATACAAATATCCATTTAATTGGTACCTATGATACTCCTCAATTATTTGCTATTTCATCATTATCATTTCAATCAGCATTTTCCCTCTTACAAATTTACAAGCTACATAGCTGTTACTGGCCTGTGTATATAATATATACGCATACAACACTGATCTTTATGATGTCTTTAACGTGACATACCAGAACAAAATTTGATTATCAGAATGTCATTTTGGAATACCTCTATACAAATACCACATTGTCTTTAGTCCGTATCAGTATTAGTATGATCCAATATAAAGCTATTATTCTTTATTTAATTCAGTATAATGCTTTTCCTCAAAAATAGTTTTGCTATTTTTTTAGGGTCGAGGCGTTACACGAACCCTGAACCATTGCAAAATGATGGTGGTTCTCTCTCTCTCTCTCTCTCTTTATTTTAATTATGCATTATCAACTACATATAAAGCAGCAACCAAAAACTTAGGGTTATCTGAGATAGGTGAAAGTAAGAGTTAAAAAGAAAGTCATGCTAAAACGGCGCTTCACTTCCCACCGCCCCCTGAAAAAAATAAAATAGATTAGTAGTCCTCCTCTCCAGAATCCACCTCCCCCCCCCCCCGCTTTAATATCACATTTTCACTTGGCAGCCCAAGGGGGCCGGGGATGGGAGGAGGGGGTTAAACCCCCTACCCCCCCCCCCTACCGTAGATCTGCCCATGTTACCATATCATTCCACGACATTTTGGTCTTCCTCTTCTCCTCAAAAGGGACTTTTAGAGTTGCGTGGACGTGGACGTGGACGTGTTACGTCCTTTTAAGGCACTGGCAATCACATGTGACGTCCTTTTAAGCACTGGCAGTGCCTTAGAAGGATGTCACACGTTGCAGTCCACGTTCTCATCGTGCAAATCTAAAAGTCCCTAATATTGATTTACTGGTCGAGGTTTATTATTTGCTGACAACGAAAAACTTCTCCAGGCCATGACCATTATGTTTCTGCCCTTGCCCGATCGCCTCCAGCTCCAGCAGACATGGCGCGGCAGCGTGCGCACGCACCGCTACTAACGGCGCAGTAGGCCTGTAACCACTGCTGACGGCGGCACTGCACTGCGAGCTGAATCTTGCACGCCTATAATCTTAGTTCCATTTCATTGGTTTAAGGTTTGAAAATTGAAACTCAATATAACTCTATAACAGAAAAGATTATCTTTATTTTATAATTCCACCGGGGCGATTTTTAATTTTGCAATCGCCCCCGTGAGCAACCTGACGGGGGCGATTTTGTAGCTCACGGGGGCGAATCGCCCACCGCCCCCGTGTATTTTGAGCGCTGTAAGGTCTCGTTTTTTTAAATGACTTCTTCGTTAGTTGACCGCATGCCGGTCCGACATCGAATTCTTTGACGATAATTGTTCTAGTTGCACCAATTGTTAGTAAAGAAAACTTTGCAATCCATTTACTAATAATTGAACTAAATGAATGTGTGTAGAGTATGAGAAATATTGGATCGAATACAATCATGTACCACATTTCCTAACATTTCTTTTTTTCTCTGCAAACTTTGGTCATCCCATCATACGAGAAACGTACACCAGACTGTGACCAGAGGGGTGTTTCACAAAGATCCTTAGTTGAACTTATCTCTAAGTTGGACTTAAAAATTATGGAAAGCCGTTAGCATCTATGAAAATATTTTGTAAAAGTTATTTTAAAAGGCATACAATGTTGATTCAACTCATTCATATTTTCTATTATCAAGTAGATTTCATGTTCTTGATGTGGAATTTATAAAAAGTCTAAAATACTTGAATTTGCGCTTTTGAATATATTTAATTTTAAGGCTACAAAATGGCTATCCATGATGTTTGAGTCCAACTTAGATTTAAGTTTGACTGACTTGGCATCTTTGTGAAACATCCCCCAGCTGAACTTACAGGTTTAGTGAAGAAAGAAAAAGAGAAATATATAGAAGAAGAAGAAGAAGAAGAAGAAGAAGAAGAAGAAGAAGAAGAAGAAGAAGAGGAGGAGGAGGAGTAGGAGAAGAAGAAGAAGGAGAAGAAGGAGGAGTAGAACAAACGCCCAACAAACAGTCATGCTTTGAAATACTCTGCTGTACATACATGTATGGGGGGGGGGTATGTAGCTGGGGTCGCTTTGGCAGCATTGGCAAGACCTTTTATTGGAAGAAAAAGCAAATTGATATCAATGATTTTAACATCTGGAATTTGCACTTGATATACATACTCTGGTTTGATGGTTTGTTTTACCCGACACTGCTGTATATTAAAGGGAAAGTCCACCCCCAAAATAAGTTTGTTTCGATAGAGGCAGAATAATAAAAAAATCAGGTGAGTGAAAGTTTGAGCAAATTCTGAATGAAAATAAGAAAGTTATGAATTATTGAAGTTGTGATCAATCAAATACAAATTGGCAACTCTGTGACTTATTATACGAGCTCTCCTTCATTTGCTTTGTACATAATATTCCATAAAATCATGTTTTCTTCGTTATTGATGACGGAATATTTGTTCCTTGCAGGGGGAGTATAGAAACATATTTGCAATTATTATATTTAGGGTGCATGTATGGTTGAAATTTTTTTGAGGGAAAATGAAAATTTTAGATTTTTTTAGTACTGAGCAAATGGAAGTTGAGCTCGCATGATACGTCATAGAGTTGCCAATTTGTGTTTGATTGATCACAACTTCAATAATTCATAACTTTCTTATTTTCATTCAGAATTTGCTCATACTTTCACTCACCTGATTTTCTTATTATTCTGCCTCTATCGAAACAAACTTATTTTGGGGGTGGACTTTCCCTTTAAAGAAAGCATGTATATTATTGTAAGTAAGCAACCAGGGAACTGACGGTTCTAAGTCCTCTCCGATGGACATGGTATTTAGAATGAGGATGAGAACGGTCCTCTGGTTGCTATTACTAAACAAGCAATTATGCTTTCTTAGCAGTCAGGTAAAATAACCACCAGTCCACTACTATTCACAATTTCATCACTTTAGACTCGATTTCAACCGCGACAACGATCATTGAATATTGTAAAATCGCATTATGCTTTCAATATGTTCATTTGAACCAAATTCATGATCCCATACCAAAACTTTGTATTACCTTTAACCACACTTTTAGTACTACAAAATGATTATAATTGCAGCACCAAGGTGTATTTTAAATAATACATCGTGGCAAAGAATGTCAAATCTCAGCAATCAATATCAGACATTTTTCTTCTGTTTCCTCATTTGTTTATCAGACTTTAGGTGTGGCCTATACTTGCAGCAGTTGGACTAAGCGCAAGCTGAGCCGAAAAGAGATCATTGGAGATTTCTTAAAACGTTCTGATGAAGGTAATCAATCAAATTAGTCTTCAGGGGAGGGGGGGGGGGTGTTCACAAACACTAAGATCGACTTTAAGTTGAACTTAATTATAGCAGGCTATTCATGCCACTGTGCTCTCACTATTGGTCTCTCGATAATGGTCTTTAGATATTTTTTTCCTTCAATAATTAACTTTAAAAAAAATGTAAGTTCTATAGATTTGTGACCACGATTTATATGTCCCTTGAGAGACCAATGGCAGTAAACGGTGAGAACAAACAATGGCATGAACAGCCTGCCATAGTTAAGTCCAACTTAAAGTCGATCTGTCTTTGTGGAACACCTCCTGCTGTACAAATACTGACTTCTGTATGGGGCACGGTCTTACTATTGCCCAAAGTGATCTTGAAACTATACTGCTCCCCTATATACGAAGTCGAGGAGAAACAGATCACCGGGGAGCTAAAATTTGAAGTGATACTCTCCTATCTGCTACTTAAAGGTATAGACCAGTTTTGGAAACGCCCCCCCTCTCAAATCATGGTCACAAATCTACATTTTTTGATAATTCATTATCTAAAGATCATAGTGGTGAGAGCAACCAGTGGCATATTATGGCCTGTCATAGTTAAAGGTAAAGACCAGTATTGGAAACGCCCCAATTTCAAAAAAATGAAATGGAAGCTCTTATTACCAATCATGTGAAAGAATATGTTTTGACTAGTACTTGATGATACAAATTTTGCCGGGAAACCGCCTACTAATTGATATATTTGGTAAATTAACATATCTATCCGGCCTGGATAGATATCGAGTGGTCCCATATGCGTCTTTCTGTGTACAGTGCTTGTAACTTTACCAAGACTGGGCCAAATTTCTTATCATTTTGATGATTCCAGTACCTTGCAGTACACACAATACAATACAATCACATTACCAGAACTGGTCGATACCTTCAAACAAAATTATTTCAAGTATTATTAGTAGTAGTAGTATCAGTAGTAGTAGTAGTAGTAGTAGTAGTAGTAGTAGTACGAAGTAGTAGTAGGCTAGTAGTAGTAGTAGTAGTAGTAGTAGTAGTAGGCCTAGTAGTCGTAGTGTTTTTATAAATAATAATAATATATATATATATATATTATTAGAATCTGTGTCATACTCATATAACATATCTTGTGTTTAAATATAAGTAAATTATTTTCTTAATGTTCATTTGCAGAATCAGCAAAGTTTGTAGCAGAGCTAGGCCCTTCCCAAGCACAGCTTAACGTGGAATACGGAAGCGAAGAAAGAGAAAAAGTAGACATATTTTCACCCGTAGGAGCTGATAAAGGTAAATTCATTTACATTGGTGTTTACTTATTGATCAAGCAATAATCATGTATTCATTTTGTTTGTCGAATCAACATAGAATAATATAAAACACAAAATAGACATTGTTCATAAAAGTAAGTGACCAAATAATGTAGTGCTCTGTCATGATTATTGAGTACCCATTTACACCTGGGTGGAGGACGGCAAGTATTGATTGATGTCTTGCCAAAGGATCTTAGTGCTGGGCTAGAACGAGATTCAAGTGAATGAACCATTTCACCATGACACTCCACCGTCTCCGCCTGAACTTTTTAGCAGACAAATTTATTTATTTATTTATTTAGATTATCTTTGGCATGTGAATTATAGAGCGCTATATAAATGACTTTATTGTATTGTATTGTATTGTATTGTATTGTCTTTTACCCTTTTTCATCTTCTGTCCTTGTTTCTATCATCTACCTCAAATTCCGCCCTACCAACAACTTCTTCTCGTCTTCAAAAAGAATCTACAAAAAATAACCTATTCCGCTAATATATGCAAAGCACATTTAAAAATTCGTATTGAAAAATCATTAAATGCATTTTTATCATTTTTAAAATATTATTCATTATCGATATTATTATGAGTATCATTTATATAATTATCATCATCATTATCATTATTTTTTTTTAAAGATAAATATTATAATCATTAATATTATCTTCTTGTTCATCATTTTTTAATCATTATTATTATAATTATTACTATATTATCTTTCTTCTTTTTATTACAAGTGTAATAATAAAAAATTGTTTTGTAACTGAAGGACAAGTCGTGATTCTTATCGAAAATTTTACGCGCTTTATAGCTTGGCCCAATAATGAAGTTTATCGATCAATCAGTGATGGTGGACTTCACTTTTAAGAACCACAGGCTTTTTTTAATGCAAGCACTATATACCTCAAGAGAACAGCCCATAAGGAAAAGCCATCATCATAAACTCTAAATCAAAAATAATATGATAGAAAGCTTTCTAAGTCTCTGTTTTCATCAGCTCGAATTTGCCAAATAACCCGCTAATTTAACTATCCCGATCGCAAAATTAACCAGTTATTTTGCGTCCTCATCAAATCGCAGTTGCAATTAGCAGGATATTAGGTCGAGAAAACATCCCGGAAACTGTTGGTGTTGTTTCCAAAATATCTCGCTTTTGGGGAAATAGCGGGCTAATTAATTTTGTGCCCGTCCGAGCTAGTTTGTGATGAGCGTATCGGTCTGGTGAAAACGCAATTTCGAGCTTCGGGATAATATATCCAGAGTCTGAAAATAGCGGGTTATTTGGCAGACTCTAGCTGATGAAAACAGGCATATAGTACCATGCACCTATTATGCTAGGTCCATGCTGAGACCCAGGGGCGTAAATCCCGGGGGGATGGGGGGGGGGGGGCTGCATCCCCCCTGGCTTGAGGTAGGGGGGTGGCCTGTACAATCATCCCCCCCTGATATTACAAAAAAAAGAGAGACAAAAAAGGAAGAAGAAGAAGAAGACGAAACTAGAAATGCAATCGTGTCACAACGATGTGCGTGCAATGACGCCGTGTTTCTACGTGTCGAACGAAATAGCTTCTCTCGGACTATCCAGAGCAATTTGTACGAAGTCTTTAGCTTCTGTAATATTGGAGACAGGTAGGGCGAAAGAAAGGCCTCAATAGTGACCTTGATGGGATGGTAGTGACTATGCCTACGATGTTTGAAAGAAATTGGGATAGGGGAAAGAACCTAGAAAGGGCTCGCAAGCACTGCGTGCAAAAACAAATGGGATTAGTTGCATGTTCGTCATTGCAATCAAGATCGTTCTAGGGGTCAAAAGCGTGAACCCGATTTGCCCCATAGACAATGCGTGTAATGCATGGGCGGAAAACGTAGAGGATCTGTATTATGACCGGAGTTAAATTGTTTTTTCTCTCTCTCTTTATGTCTCTTTATGGGCCGTATATGGTATCATTGGAAAGAGAATTTCATGGTCGTTATTGTAAACTACTCTCTTTTTTTCTATGATAATCCTATCGAAACATGTGATGTAAAATAGATTTAAAGGACAAAATGGCGTCTTAAATGGCCCCCTTGACCAATTTCGAAAATCCGGCCATGAGGTGCCCTGCGTATTGCATCTCGGAATGTCATTGCAAATTTTCAAGGAAAAAAAAGGATGTTTAGGGGGCGAAAAGTAGTCTGAAAAAAATGACGTCATGGCCGATAAGTGTTATAATCGGGCGGAATTCGTATAGTGACCCTTGTTCAAATGCGATTTACTCACAATTTTCTGTGTAAACATATACCATACTTGGTATCATTCGAAAGGGCACTTCATTGCGGTCAGTTTGACACCATTGTCATCTGCACGCAATGTACTGCACGCATTAAAGGCGCTATTACGTAATGCATAGCAAATTCATCATTTTTGGCGATAACTTTGCGCTGACGTTAGTAAAATTTCCCGAATTTAGCAGACAGTTGTCACGTATATGGATACATGTGTCTGCCAAGTTTCAACGACGTAGGTATAAAGATCGCCATTTTAGAGCAAGTTGAAGTTATTTCGGAATTTTCTTGAAAATGGCGAATTTGGAGGGCAATTTTCGCAAATTTGGTCAGTGATAGGGTATATAATTTTGTATATGGCTGGAAAGGGCATATCCTCAAGTATCTAAATCCAAAAAAGGGTACGGCTCTGCCAAGCCATAATGGAGATACGGCCACAGAGAGAAAGCCAATTTCCAGAACTTTAGAGGGCGCTATTTATGTTTTGCAAAACCATTGGAGCGTGAAATTTGGCAAGGCTATGTGCATTTATGAAATTAAGATACTGTAAGATTTAAATACAAAACGGAATTTATATGAGAAAGTTATGGCAGTTTTAGATTATTTAGGGGTCAATTTCTCAAGAATTTGAGAGATTTTTGACGGAGTCGGTTTCAGATTTGAATTTTAAGTACGAAGATGGCATTTTGAAGGTCAGGTTATACGTCGCAGATGAAAGAACACCTCTTAGACTATCTAGAGGAATTTGTTAGAAGTTTGTAGGATCTAGGATAGTGGAGATAGGAAGGAAGATAGAAAGGCCTTAAAATGGACCAGAAACGGACAAAATGGCGCCTGGACGGTCATGCATAACTGATTTCGAAAATCGAAAAAGTAGGTGACCTTGATGAGATGCTAGAGATGATGCCTACGAAATTTGAAAGGAAAAGGACTTGAGGAAAGTACCTTACTAGGAATCACAAGCACTACGTGCAAAACGAATGGGATTTTTGGACGATAAGGAAAACAAGAATATTAATGGGGCAGAATGTGAACGAAAACAAGGCAATGACGAAGGTTCGTCATTGCAAAAATGTGATTGTTTCAATTTCAGCATAATGCATGAGAAATTAGTTATTTTTTATGTATGTAAAACTGTATAGCCTACACGTATACAGTATGTCACTATCATTAAGAATAGTTGGCGACGTGCGCGAACAAGCACTTCATAAACTTCAGAATAATTTTTCGTTATTTTGCAAGGTATTATTATAGCCCAGACGTAAAGTGCGCGAGCGCGCGAGCGCTTAAAAAGTGCAATCATGTACAGTAGATGCCCGGCTCCCACTTAGTGTTATTTAGGGTACGCGTACGCTCGTTCCCTCCCTTTGAAAGCACCCCCACCCTATGTCAGGACTGCCAACATATCTGAATCCCCCTTTCGCCGGCTTTTCGCTGGCTTTTCCTATTTTGGAGACCCCCCCCCAAAAAAAAAAAAAAAATAATAAAAATCCGGATCACTGCTAAATGTACCACACCCCCCCCCCCCGATTTCAGGTGAGCTCTTGTCGATCGAGGGGGACTGAGGGGCAATGCTTTTAATTTTCAAAATGAAATAATCCTGAATGAGCTTTCAAAGCTAGCAGGAATTTCAGGAATTTGATCCCGGGATTTGATCAATTTTTCTATGATATTCAAGATATTTTATAACCCCCTTTTTACATTTCTCAGGAGTCCAAAGAGAGAGAGAAAAAAACCCACCCCCTTTTTAAAGAAATTAAGAGTCGAGAATGGTACAACGAATCGTCTTCTTTCTCTAATGGTTTAATGAAACGTAAAAGCTTCCGCGCTTTGCGCGGGAGGGAGGGGGGGGGGGGGGAAGGGAAAAACTGAATTCAGATGAGGATTAAAAGTCGAGAACAGTACAACGAATCGTCTTCTTTCTCTAATGATTTAATGAAACGTAATAGCTTCCGCGCTTCGCGCGGGAGGGAAGGGGGGGGGGGGGAAGGAAAAAACTAAATTTAGAGGAGAATTAAAGTCGAGAACGGTACAACGAATCGTTTTCTTTCTCTAATGATTAAAGAAACGTAAAAGCTTCCGCGCTTCGCGCGGGAGGAAAGGGGGGGGGGGGGAAGGAAGGGAAAAACTGAATTCAGATGAGGATTAAAAGTCGAGAACGGTACAACGAATCGTCTTCTTTCTCTAATGATTTAATGAAACGTAAAAGCTTAGGCGCTTCGCGCGGGAGGGGAGGGGGAACTGAATTCAGACGAGGATTAAGAGTCGAGAACGGTACAACGAATCGTCTTCTTTCTCTAATTATTTAATGAAACGTAAAAGCTTCCGCGCTTCGCGCAGGAGGGGGTAGGGAAAAACTGAATTCAGATGAGGATTAAAAGTCGAGAACGGTAAAACGAATCGTCTTCTTTTCGTAATGATTTAATGAAACGTAAAAGCTTCCGCGCTTTGCGCGGGAGGGAGGGGGGGGGGGAAGGGAAAAAACTGAATTCAGATGAGGATTAAAAGTCGAGAACGGTACAACGAATCGTCTTCTTTCTCTAATGATTTAATGAAACGTAATAGCTTCCGCGCTTCGCGCGGGAGGAAAGGGGGGGGGGGGAAGGAAGGGAAAAACTGAATTCAGATGAGGATTAAAAGTCGAGAACGGTACAACGAATCGTCTTCTTTCTCTAATGATTTAATGAAACGTAAAAGCTTAGGCGCTTCGCGCGGGAGGGGAGGGGGAACTGAATTCAGACGAGGATTAAGAGTCGAGAACGGTACAACGAATCGTCTTCTTTCTCTAATTATTTAATGAAACGTAAAAGCTTCCGCGCTTCGCGCAGGAGGGGGTAGGGAAAAACTGAATTCAGATGAGGATTAAAAGTCGAGAACGGTAAAACGAATCGTCTTCTTTTCGTAATGATTTAATGAAACGTAAAAGCTTCCGCGCTTTGCGCGGGAGGGAGGGGGGGGGGGGGGGAAGGGAAAAACTGAATTCAGATGAGGATTAAAAGTCGAGAACGGTACAACGAATCGTCTTCTTTCTCTAATGATTTAATGAAACGTAATAGCTTCCGCGCTTCGCGCGGGAGGGAAGGGGGGGGGGGGGAAGGAAAAAACTAAATTTAGAGGAGAATTAAAGTCGAGAACGGTACAACGAATCGTTTTCTTTCTCTAATGATTAAAGAAACGTAAAAGCTTCCGCGCTTCGCGCGGGAGGAAAGGGGGGGGGGGAGGGAAAAACTGAATTCAGATGAGGATTAAAAGTCGAGAACGGTACAACGAATCGTCTTCTTTCTCTAATGATTTAATGAAACGTAAAAGCTTAGGCGCTTCGCGCGGGAGGGGAGGGGGGGAACTGAATTCAGACGAGGATTAAGAGTCGAGAACGGTACAACGAATCGTCTTCTTTCTCTAATTATTGAATGAAACGTAAAAGCTTCCGCGCTTCGCGCAGGAGGGGGGAAGGGGAAAACTGAATTCAGATGAGGATTAAAAGTCGAGAACGGTAAAACGAATCGTCTTCTTTTCGTAATGATTTAATGAAACGTGAAAGCTTCCGCGCTTCGCGCGGGAGGGGAGGGGGGAACTGAATTCAGACGAGGATTAACAGTCGAGAACAGAACAACGAATCGTCTTCTCTCTCTAATGATTTAATGAAACGTAAAAGCTTCCGCGCTTTGCGCGGGAGGGAGGGGGGGGGAGAGAAAAACTGAATTCAGGGGGGGGGAAACTAAACTCAGACGAGGATTAAGAGTCGAGAACGGTACAACGAATCGTCTTCTTTCTCCAATGATTTTATGAAACGTAAAAGCTTCCGCGCTTCGCGCGGGAGGGGAGGGGGAACTGAATTCAGACGAGGATTAAGAGTCGAGAACGGAACAACGAATCGTCTTCTTTCTCTAATATTGTTGTTTGTTCGTTTGTGTGTGTGCGTGTGTGTGTGTGTGCGTTTGTGTGTGTGTGTTGTGTGTTTGTGCGTGCGCGATCGCGCGCTTGCGTAAATTAGTGTGGGCGTGTGCTCGTGCTAGTATGTGATGGCTATCGCCGATCATCCCCCCCCCCCACTCCTCGGTACGGATTTACGCCCCTGCTGAGACCAGGTAGTTGTGAATTAACTCCATGCTGACACCGGATTTAGCTGCTGGTGCTGCTATACTTGTGATATTTTGTACACAAAGCAACTTGTATTTCTCCTGTTTGTGGAAACAGGAGAGCATCTGTATTTAAAGGTAAAGGCCGGTGGTGGTAAAATTGCGGTTCAAGGGTTTTGGGTGCAAAATACCCATTCAATATTGTTTAAATATTGCCTTCAGAGGTTTAGATGGCAATAGTTCAACCTAAATTCGCAAAAAAGCAGAAATATATACCCAAATGTTCAATGTCGAAGTGCATTCGCGATATCTATCCAGGCCGGATCGATATGATAATTTACCAAATATTATTAGTAGGCGGTTTCCCGGCAAAATTTGTATCATCACGTATTAGTCAAAACATATTCTTTCACATGATTGGTAATAAGAGCTTCCATTTCATTTTTTGAGAGGGGGGGGGGGGGGTGAATGGTCATAATTAGGCGTCGAAATTTAACACATGAACACACACGATTCTAGAATTAAAGAGATGGATGTGATATATATTTGTTTTAGGATGTTCTAAAAGTATTTTTAGTTTACGTTCATAGCATTTCAAAGATAACTTGTTACTACCATTAGAGTCACTCATAATACTCTTGTAAAAATCTTGTAAAAACTGTAACAACTGATTGATTTTGTAATTAATTTTTCCTTAGAAAAGTTGGGGAGGGAGTATACTTGTATATGCCACCCCCTCCCTCAAAAGTGGTATGTTCTGTATAAATGGTATTTAAGTATTCTTGATATTTATACCTGGTTCTTGCTCATACAAATTTTAAGAGGTATTTCCGCTACCTGCAAATTCTAAACAAGTTGATATATCTGAAATCGTTTTACCAAGACTGAAGATGTTTTACCAAAAATTGAAAGCATAATTATGAAGTTGATGTAAACACATAAATATAACTCTGTAGTAAAAGAGACATATTTACAAGATTTTATTTTACATAATAATGTAATATACTTTGAACATAAGGAGCGTCAAGTCTGACACACACATGTGCGCTAGACAAGAACCCACTAAGAACTAATTATAATTATCATTATTAATCTCCAACTTTGATGAAACTATTTTTAACATTGATCTTTTCAGATGCACCTGTGTTTATGTTTATTCATGGAGGCTACTGGCAGATAAAGGAAATGTGGTGAAGTTCTTTCCTTTTGCAAAGATTTTAGCACATCACACCGTAAATCGTTGAAATCAAATCATTAAAACGAGTGTTGACATGAAAATGATGTGTTGAATAAACGCAGATGTCAATATGTGGGACTGGGTGATAATTATGACCTCTCAGGAAGAAAAAAAAACGTATTGTAAGATTTGAAATGTATGTTTTTATCAAGCTTTCAAAAGTCATCCTCTTATGTTGCAGTGGTATTGCTTCTTCAATCATAATTATATAGGCCTACATTTATGAATAAGCCCACATTATTTTATTCATACATGCATATTGATCATTGATTTGTCCATACATGCATATTTATTCATTAATGCATATTCATTTATTTATACATGTATATTCATTAATTCATACATGTATATTCATTGATTCATTTATTACACAGTACCTTTTATAATACAAGGGCCCTGTGTCAGACATAGGGCACCCTCAGTGTTATAATAATAATACTCGTTTTTCTTAATTGCACTTAGCCATTTAATGACAAAAGGGCTAACAGTATTACATGTATTATTATTACTACCCCGGTCAGCGGATTCAAATTACCATTCTGTACATCATAATGTACTTTCTCCACTCTCTGGGGAGCTACCAAGCTAGTCGCCTTTTAATGGGCGCGGACATGCTATTCCAACCAAACTGACATTTACATCCTTCCGGGTACCCAATTAACACCCGGGTGGAGAGGAGCAATGCTGATAAAATGCAATAGATGATATGCCTTGCTCAAGGACATAAGTGCTATGCTGGGGCTGGAACCCATGACGTCATTTTCCAGTCAATCAGCTATAGTCAAACATATAGCTCTATAAAACTTTTGAACATAACCATTGATAAGCAATTATTTGAGTATCCTATAAAGCATTGTTACTGATATTGACCATGCAAAAGATTTATGACACTTGACCCTGGCCTTGATGTGACATTTGACATTTTTCTCTGTTTGTGTTTTGCTGGCAGTAAGGATATTAGCTCTTTAATGGGAGGTCCTCTCATCAAGAATGGTGCTGTGTTGGTCACGGTTGGACATACCTTAGCGCCTGAGCGTAAGTGTTGCCAATTTGGGAAATTGTAATAATCTGGATTTATGTAGCGCTTAATATGAAATACCGTCTCTAAGTGCTGTACTATCCCTTATTAAAAAATTACCATGGTAACGATGGTTCTTTGTCCAAATTACCATTCACCATTCGAACCATGGTACCCTGGTATCAAACAATGGTTGTTTGAGACAATGGTACCTTTTCATAAGAACCATATGTATAAGGGTTTCGTCTCTAAGTGCTTTACAAATGTTATTTTCCGGTCATCAGATTCGTTCATGCACAATGTGAACCATCTTCATTCCATGGGGAGTATTCCTATCATTATGGTCACCGTGGAAGCATATGGCAATTACTATCACAAAGGCCTTCGTCATCCTACCAGGTCCCCATTTATCTCCTGGGTATGGAGTGGCAAATGTAAATAATGCCTTGCGAAAGGGCATGAGTACCGTAGGGATACGGCACCTATAGGATACACTGTGGAAGCTAAATGTACCATTTCATCATAACCATAGGCTACAGACGTGACAAAACCGTAGCATTTTGTTTAGGTGACGTATACGCTTCACATTAAGCATCTTATAACACATGCAGAGCTGAGTGCTGTTTCCTTTAATTTTCATGTAATAAAACATTGCTTTAAAAGAAGGATGTGTCTAGTTATGACATTTCATTCATATACATACTCATTTCCTTAATTACTTACAGATAATTAGAACATTTTTACAGCAGTGGAGTTTTCAAATTTATTGTTGAAAATTCGCAATTTGTCCATGTTTTGTTTTGTTTTCAATTTTATATCTGTATATAGGTACTCTACATGAAATTGTGGAACAGGTTAAAAAGGCTGTGGTTTTTGTGGCCAAAAGATTTCCAGAAACTAGGTTAGAACAAAAAATAACTGTACGAAGCTATGAATAACGCTATTATGCGATAAACCGCTTTGGTTTTCCAGCAAGGCAAAATTAAATGAGATAAGCATAATTCGCATTACATATCTATAGTTGTTAACACACATAATAAGAAAGTACGTCTTGGACCTTTGTTGCGTGCAACTACCTTTTGCTTCACCAACGCTTGCCATTCACTTCTACATTAACACTTCAGTTGCTTTTGTTGCCTCTCTGTGCAGTTGCAATGCTCATTTGCCACATGTGAAAATTTGCACAAAACAGTGGGCACCTATTTACGAAACAATGCAACACAATGGCTTTTTAAAAACACCAATATCCAGTCTTGATTAGCTCCATGATAACCCTGTTAACACCGATTAATCTTGCTTTTGAAACAGTTATGTAATGTTGAAGTCCTTTTTGTTATCATTTTTCCATGTGGCACAGGGAGATTAATTTTGGGGGGCATATCATGGAAGAAGAACAAAATTGGTTGCTGCGTCACATGTAAACAAGTTTTTACTTGTAAAATTCTGTATTTTTTAAGTGCTTTAAATTGATTTAAGGTTGTGTTATTATACAAACACTACAGAATAGGTCAAACTAAAACAATTGACTAAAAATATTTCTTATACAGCCATGTAATTGTTGCACATGGAGTTGAGTACTATGTGCTGGCATTCGAATAATACATTGCTCTTAGTATATTTTTTTTCGTGTACTTTCTCATGACAATGGTACTCCTGAATTGTGAAACATAATTCAAAACTATCATAGACAAAATTAAATGCCTGTTTAATTCAAATTTAATTGTCCTTTTTCTAATCACAGAGGGATTTTCATATCCGGTCACTCGGCTGGTGGTCATCTGTCGGCCATGATGCTGTCCGTAGACTGGTCAAGCCTTCTTGAGGGAAGCAAGAACCTTGTCAAAGGTGATGGTCAAAACTAATCCTACGACATATGCTGCAGGCATAATTTCGTCAAAAGTATATAGGGTTTAGGTTTCGGGTTGCAGTTGGGGTGTTAGCACATTGGTTGCTTTCAATCGACGGAAGGATTGTTTTGTGTAACGGCTTTGCAAAATTAGTAGTTTCCAAACCACATCATTTTCATTACTAAAACTAGGCACAACAAAATTTAGCAATACAAATATGCATTCTTTTACAATCATAATATTCTAAATGTTCGTTTGATGTCACTCCAAGTAATATATACGTTTTATTTTCTTTGTAATTTGTATGTAGGTATCCTTCCTATTTCTGCTGTATTTGATGTTCGACCTCTTACAAAAACTTACATCAACGAGCCATTGCTTCTTACAGAGTAAGTATTAGAGAGAAAGAGGGGGAGATAAAGAGAGAGAGGGGGAGAGAGAGACAGGGAGCCGAAGAGTAGAAGAGGAGTGAGTGTGTGTGTGTGTGTGTGAGAGAGAGATAATGAGATATAATGGAGAGATGATTTCATCGTAAACGGGAGTGGAGAGAAGAGGGTGTAAGACATTGAGAGATTAAGAGAGAGAGAGAGAGAGAGAGAGAGAGAGAAAGAGAGGAGATGGGAGTGAAACAGATAGTGAAGGAGGTTAAAGACGGTTAGATCGCCAGTATGTACACATTTTGGAGGGGAGGGTGATAATGCCAACCCATCTTTTTGCACCCTTTGATCTTGTGCATGTCACAAAAAGGACAATTAATATTATTTTCTTGCTCATCATTTATCTTTTTTTTTATTCAGGGAAAAGTTTGTTTGATTCCATTAGCATTACCAGATTAAAAGATATGATTTTCTTTACTATCTTTTGCTAATCTAGTACATCGTATTTTGGCAAATGTTATTTCTTTTTAGTCATGAGCATCCATTGAAAGATTTGTTTATGAGAATTTGATTTGTGTGATTCTGTTAGAATTTCCATAATTACAAGAACTGATAATTACCTTCAATCTTTCTTCAGGTCAAGTGCATCTTCTGTGAGCCCTCTTCTCCTTGTGGATGCTATCCCTACATGCAATCTAGGGGTCAAAGTTCACATCCTGGTAGCCGAGTATGATCCACCTGTACATCAAACACAAGCACAAGATTACAGCAAGGTTTGTACGGAATAATTACGTTGAAATGTATGAACCTGGGCCGGTATTTAATTCAATATTTAAGTTTTAAAAAATAAGTATTTTACTTAGTTTTCTTAATTTATGTATGTGGTAAATTATATAGATCCGGCCAGGATAGATATCGCGAATGAACATTGAACATTTGGGCATATGTCTGCTTTTTTGCGAATTTAGGTTGAAGTATTGCAATCTAAATATCTTAATGCAATATTTAAACAATATTGAATGGATATTTTGCACCCAAAACCCTTGAACCGCAATTTTACCACTACCGGTCTTTACCTTTAAGTAAATTACTTAGCCAACTTTGGTTCAAGGTTTTGGCTAAGTTACCCTATACAAATTGTAATCGGCAGTTTCCTACCAGACTTAAGCCGATTATTGATTGGCAGGCAAATGGTTTGAGCTTGCCTTCATAAACAAATCTTAAATTGTCTTCTTTTAAAAATCAAATGACAAACATTTGTGTTGTATTTTAAGTGAGCGCCTCTTTAATTATGACTTGCGCTTGATGAGCCTGTCTCCTTCTGTTAGTATTTAATTTATCTAGTATATAACGTTCAGCACATAACAAACTTTAATTCTTCTAATGTATGACATTATCGAATTGTGGATAAGATGGTATCAACGTCCTTCTTCTTTCTTTCCCGTTAGCTTCTAGCAGCTAGTGGTCTAGATGTTGAAATGATGACGTTACCCGGTAGAGATCATTTTGAGGAGATCATGGAGTTACCTGATGAAAACTGCCCATTTCAAAAGGTATGTCATCGACCCTCTATGCGCCCCATTATAGTACCTCGCTGAGCAGCGAATGCTTATCTGATGGATGTTGGCGAAAATCAGGGTTCGCCTTTGCAACATTTAGAGAATTTAGCGATGTTTAGCGACAATTATGATTAGCAACATTTGAGCGAATGTTTAGGGCCTATCTCACTGAGCGGCGAATGCTTGCGAACGTAGCGAATTTGGGGTTTCGCCAGAGTTTGTAAAATGTTGTAAAAGGTTGCAAGAAAGATCGCAAACAGTTTTCTTTGTTGTAAACAGTTTTTCTTGTCGCAAAGAAATTTTGAACATGTTCAAAATTTCTTTGCGAATTTATTTTTCCGCAAACAGTTGCAGGCGTTTGCAAAACAGTCGTTAGCGTTTGCAAAACAGTCGTAAGCCTTTGCAAACGGTTGTTAAACGGTTTTGCTCTTTGTTTTCGTCAGTTCTCTGTGTTTCGCCAAAGCTAGCGACCACGTTACCATATGGTTCCTTTATAAAATCGACCCATTGAGTACCAGTAGTTAGCAAAAGGTCTCAAACGTTCACAAATAGTGGCAAAGGATTGGCAAATAGTTGCTAATCTTCGCAAAAGTTGTCGCTAACATTTGTTTACAGTCGCTAATAGTCGCCAACTGCCTTTCGCAAACACTTTCGGAGACATTCGCTCAAATGTTGCTAATTGTCGCTAAACGTCACTTAATGTCGCTGATTTTCGCCAACATTCGTCAGAAAAGTTGGCGAATCCAAATTCGCAACGTTCGCAAGCATTCGCTGCTCAGTGAGAAAGGCAGTTGGCGACTATTAGCGACTGTGAGCAAAATTGTTAGCAACAGCTTTTGCGAAGATTAGCAACAATGTGCCAATCCTTTGCCACTATTTGTGAATGTTTGGGACCTTTTGCTAACTCCTGGTACTCATGGTCACGTGGTCGGTAGCATTGGCGAATCAAAAAGAACTTCAGCGACACCGTCTTAAAACCGTTTTCAAAGGCTTACGATTGTTTGGCAACGCTTGCAACTTTTGCGGAAAAAGAAATTCGCAAAGAAATTTCGAACATGTTCAAAACTTATTTGCGACAAGAAAAACTGTTTGCGACAATGAAAACTGTTCGAAATTTCTTTGCGAACTTTCTTGAAACCTTGTACGAACCGTTTACGAACCCTGGCGAAACGCCAAATTCGCTACGTTCGCAAGCATTCGCCGCTCAGTGAGATACCCCCTTTTAGATTTCAAAAGAAAATTTTCCTGCATTACCTGTAATATGCTAGTGATGTAATTTTGCTTGAGTGGCTGTACACATAAATCCATGGATGCAAATCATTGAGGACACTTTACTTTTATACTTGGACACAATAGATAATGAATGAATGCCACAATGAACTTTTACTATATATTATGCATTATCAATTGAGTTTTTCATTCTTGAAGGAAATAAATGGAAGAAAAAAAAGACAAATGTTGTGCGGGATCCGTCGCGTGGAATCCCTCATTTGTAGTTTTGTGAAGAAATAGTCTCCGCCTCCCTGGGAGTATTTCACAAAGATCATCAGTCGAACTTATATCTAAGTTGGATTTATGGATTATGGAAAGCCGTTAGCAATTTACTATGAAAACATTGTGTAAAAGTTATTTTAAAAGGCATAAAATGTTGACTCAAATCATTCATATTAGTTTTATATTACTGACAGCATGTCTCTGTAATTTTACTACTCGCAGGTCTTCCTTCGAGCGATGGGTTTGACATCTTGATGGCCATCCTTCAAGACAATAGTAAAGTGAACTTCTGTGGTAATATTTGGCTGAGTTCTGCATGGTTAAGGACCAAACTTTGATGCCACAATAATGCACAGGCCTCTGTATAATTTTGTATAATCCACCTGTATATACTGGCCATGTATTTTGTCTCTCTTCAAAGTAAAGTGAACTTATGTGGTAATATATTGGTAAAATAGTTAAAGAGGTTGAGTTCTGGCTACGGACCAAAGTTTGATGCCACAAGAATGCACAGGCCCATATAAAGTTAATCATGTCTTTGTGACTGCCTCTCTATAATATAATCCACCTGTTTATAGTGGCCATGTATTTTGTCTCTTCATACAAAGTAAGGTGAACCTCTGAGGTAATATATTGGTAACATATTCATTATAGGGTGCGTTTGTACAACATGACACAGCTGTGGCGCGCGCTCCCTCTCCGAACCGGAAATTTGCCTGGGACCGAAATAATGTATACGCGCTCCAAAACAGCTTTGCGTTTATCATCTCTCAGAAACGTAAGTCTGGCTCATAGTGGGTATCAAAACGCACTTTTGTTAGCGTTTTTCTAATATACACATATATTCCTGGCAGGAATTAATTCTTTGAAATGCTAGAGCGCCGTAATGGCAGCACAGCTAAAGTCAGGGTAATAATCTCCAAGTGTGGAAGCACTTAGTGATTGTAATAAGCGCTATATAAAACTGAGTATTAGTATTATGCCTATATCTAATTAAAGACGTTTGAAAACGTTTGTGCGTTTATCAACATGCACAATTTGCCTGAATCAAGTTTGAAAACGCTGATTATAGGCTTGACAAGATTTGATAAACGCACCCAAAGATACAGAGAAGGCTGAGGTGCAGATGTAAGAATATTAACAATATTGAAAGTTTGATTTGTTGGAGCGCATGGGTTTGCATGCTAGATTGTTTATTGAATGGCTGAAAGTAGTTGCATTTTCTTTGTAAAGATTTCAAAGGGAAAACCCATGCATTGTTATGTGTTGTTTAAAGACGAGCATAATGTAGTACACCATGTGATTCATAATCTATTTGAGATATGAGGACTATCATCACTTGCTAAGAAGTTATTCAGTGTTCTTTTTGTGATTCAGTTTTGTTGTTCAATAATCCTGTGGCTGAGACTTTTGCAAATCTTGATCGTTTTTGCATAATCTATGAAAGTGTTTTGTTTTATATTAGATCAGTCGCAACTTATTAACACTTCCTTTAGGGCGCACACCTCTCCATTGTTTAAATCATTAAAATTACTTAAACTTCCAGATATTCTTTCTCAAGGTACTTCATTATTTATGTACAAACTCAAACATGCTATGTTACCAAGAACCTTTATGACAGTTTTCGGCGGATGTTTACTCATTTAATACAAACAAAAGGATGACTTCCATCTACCAAAATTCACTCACTCATTTTTGCAAAATAAATCATTTAGATATCAATAATATATATGGGGACATCTTTTGGTTTCTGATGCTTTGTTTCCATGATATTGGCGTTATTCAAAATATATTTTAAACATATAGTCTCGCGGCAACCGGTTGAAAACGCTGTACCAGATGGGTAAAATTTGAGGGGCAGATTGCCGGGAGGGGATAAAAGGCATAATGAGTGGTCCACCCGCCATCAACCCTTTATTGTACTCACCTACGGAAGGTCACGGTTCAAGCTGTTCCCATTCTCATTGATAAAGTTTGTCATAAAATCCTTCGGTATTAAGCTGACTTTGAAACATTTGCGTAAGCTCGAACCGTTGGCATGACCTCCCCACCCCCCCCCCCCCCCCACTCAGTGTTATTTTGGGGTACGCGTATGTATGGTCCCTCTTTTTGAAAGCACCCCTATCTCCGGTGTAAAAGTCAATGGCGATATTTTGGGAACACGCGTGCGGTCCCTCCGATCCCGGAGGGGGGGGGGGGGGGGGGGTGAGTATTCACAGTACCTTTTATTCTGCATCAAGAAGGTATTTTCATCATTTTTTAGTCTTAATTGGAATGTTCTGGAACTTTTTACTAATCCGGTGAGAATCTGTAGAATTAACAAAATGTTGACATTGCTGAAGCCGACAGTAAAGTCCGCTATTATTATTTTTTTTTTAAAGAGAATACAAAAAAACAAAAGCGTATACAAAATAAATGTCACCGAAAAAGAGAGTGTCACTCACTGATCCCTGCAGTATGTACGATACAGAGGCCGAAATGTGTTTGCATTACAATAAGGGTTTTTAAAGGAGCACAGCAATAATTATCAGGGTTTTTGCCCATGGTGGCGTTGGGCTTTTGTCGGCTTTTGTTTAATGGTACTCAGTCGGATTAACAAAGAACAATCATTTCCGCCACTCACTCTTACAATTTTTATTATTATATTAATGTTATAGCTTACTTATATTGATAGAGGAATTATAAAAGATGCAGCCCATATAGAATATTTTATCCACGAGTGTGGAGGAGGGGTAGTGCGTCCCTCCATGGTTTACGATGGTTTAGCAACAACAAAATTGTGAGACTGATGATTCTAACCCCCCCCCCCCCCCCCAATTAGAGCGGGCCGTGAATTGCCTTAGTTTTGTCGAGGTTTTATTTACATCTGCCATATGCCTCTATTGTCATGATTTAGTATTTGGCATAGTTGACTACTTGTTTTGTCTCTGATAATATCAACATTATTTAACTTTTTCTCGAGTGTATGTGCGATATATTGTTTTAATATAATTTGCCTTTGTTTTGTTGCGGTTTTGTTTTTATTTAGCATACCTATATTCTTCGGATAACCCTATATGTATTATAATAGGATTTCATTTTACTTGAGCTTGAATGTAAATTTGTAATGAAGCTATTGCTAGATCTTTTCAAGTTTTCAAGTTTCAAGTTTATTTATTCCACTTTATCAAAGATAACATAATTGAACATAATGAACAATGGTCATTATTATAACTAAACTTACAATACAGAAAACATAATGTACATGGTAATAGTTATAACAGAGAATACAATCATATAAATCAATCAATAAAGTGGGGGATCTACTAAAAAGCAAAGCTTGTATTATGTAGGTCCCGGTTCATATGTTCATATATAAATTAGGGTATCTGAATTAACATAAATATTTACAAAAGCATATATGATTACACGAGGGTTATCTTTAAGTGACACATTTTACTAAACATATCGTAAATAATTGAAAAAAGGAAAAGTTCTGTGCTTTCCTCAGCATAAACAAATATATATGATCAGTGCTTTATTTAGCGCTACTTGTGTGGAGAGAAAGAATAATTGCAAGGAAAACAATTCAGAAAAGAGAACAGGTACGTAAGGAAAGATGATTAACGAGAATGGAAAGTATAACGGAAGAAGAAGACAACAACAAAAAGCAATGTGAAAAAATAAAAATACGGGACGACAAGTGAGAACGTTGTGAACAAGCGGGAAAGAAGAGGAAAAGGGAGAGAGCTAGAGGGAGGGGCAGAGATATCAGGGAAGAATTGACATAGGGTTAAAGCCGTCTTTGACCGGTGGCAGAGAGTGAAATGAATGAAAAGCAGATGTTAGGGGTAACATGTTTAGGTATCATGTTTGTCGTAGGTATTCAACAAGAAATGCTTGAGTTTACGTTTAAACGTGTTAAGTGTGGGGGTTGATTTGAGAGCCGGGTTGAGTGAGTTCCATATGGGTCCAGTATAAATGAATGATTTTGGTAAAGTAACTGTTTTTGTGCGAGGGGGTGAAAATGATTCGACTTCCTACAGCCTTTTCACACACAGCTAAAATTCTATAAACCTGATTAGTATAAACGTGTTTGAAACGTGTTTAAACTAATCACGAGCCTTTCACACACAAAAATTTCGTTGCGATCGTTAATAGTTTCGTGATTAACTACTGCTTGTAAAATGCGCAGTAGTGCCATTGCGCATTGAAGGTCATGTCATATCAATCAAAGCGCACGCTCCATCCAGTTTAAACACGTTTAAACACGCATTTCCTTTCACACACAAAATGTCAAGCTCTCTAGATACGAACTTCGTATCTGCAGCCCGCTTTTAGGCAGCCTTTTCACACACAGCTAAAATTCATCGTATCTAGAGATGATTAGAATCACTCAACAGTTTTAAACATGTTTATAGACAAAATTTCCCAGTGTGAACATCGTTTATACGATGTTGGGATAGATACGAAGTCGCGATCCATACGCCCCTAAAAGCAGGCTGCAGATACGAAGTTCGTATCTAGAGAGCTTGACATTTTGTGTGTGAAAGGAAATTCGTGTTTAAACGTGTTTAAACTGGATGGAGCGTGCGCTTTGATTGACATGACATGACCTTCAATGCGCAATGGCACTACTGCGCATTTTACGAGCAGTAGTTAATCACGAAACTATTAACGATCGCAACGAAATTTCTGTGTGTGAAAGGCTCGTGATTAGTTTAAACACGTTCGAAACACGTTTATACTAATCATGTTTATACACTGTTGCTCATAACGGTGGAATATTTTTTTTTATCCCAATTTATGGAATTATTTTAAAAATAATTTAAAAATACTAGATTTAGATAATAGTATACAGTCTTAGATTTTATTGAATAATAATATGCCAATATGTGTTTTGCGTGACTGCTAAAGCATGTATATTATGCTACTATGTTTATCAACTAGGGGACCTATGCCCTTAAGTCATAAAGGACAGTAATGAGGATTAATGCCTCACAAAAGGGCTCTGATATAGCACATCGACACGGTGTTGATCCTGGGGCCTCACAGTTACGAGGCCATTGCTTTGTCACTGAACCATGACTGTACGCAGCGGGGGCTATGGTAGGGGGCACTTTCCATAAATTAAAAAAAAAACAGAAAATGCAATAAATTTTCAATAATTTATTGCATTCTACCCCGGTCCCCAACATAAAAAAAATCCTCTGGACGGCCATGCATTATGGCTCAAGGCATGGGCACACAGAAGATTTTTTTATGTTGGGGACCGGGGTAGAATGCAATAAATTATTGAAAATTTATTGCATTTTCTGTTTTTTTTCAATTTATGGAAACTGCCCCCTACCATAGCCCCCGCTGCGTACAGTCATGGTTCAGTGACAAAGCAATGGCCTCGTAACTGTGAGGCCCCAGGATCAACACCGTGTCGATGTGCTATATTAGTGCCCTTTTGTGAGGCATTAATCCTCATTACTGTCATTTATGACTTAAGGGCATAGGTCCCCTAGTTAATAAACATAGTAGCATAATATACATGCTTTAGCAGTCACGCAAAACACATATTGGCAAATTATTATTCAATAAAATCTGAGACTGTATACTATTATCTAGATCTAGTATTTTTAAATTATTTTTAAAATAATTCCATAAATTGGGATAAAAAAAAATATTCCACCGTTATGAGCAACAGTGTAGAATTTTAGCTGTGTGTGAAAAGGCTGAGGGGCGTATAGATCGCGACTTCGTATCTATCGCAACATCGTATAAACGATGTTCACACTGGGAAATTTTGTCTATAAACATGTTTAAAACTGTTGAGTGATTCTAATCATCTCTAGATACGATGAATTTTAGCTGTGTGTGAAAAGGCTGCTAGTTGGGTAGTTATGAATTTCCTGGTTTTTAATAAACATTTCCGTTTAATCTTTTTGGTAGATTGTTTATCTCAAGTTGATACATAAAATTACCAATATGTAGGAGTATAAATCATTAATTTTCAGGGATTTGCTTTAATGGAATAACAGGTTGGGTGTGAGCACGATGATCTTTTGTTAAAAATCATTTCCCCCTATAAGCCCCATCCCGGAATTTCGAGAAAGAATAAAATAAATAAAGATTTGAAAACAAAGGCCTATAGGGCTCTCAAGTCGTCTAACATGCCAAGGTTCACAATTTGAAAATATTCTGGTATGCTTACACTCAGGTATATAGGCCTATTACATAGGTAGATATAGTACAAGAAATAGACAATGTATACACTCCTTATAGGGTCAGCAGGGGAGGGGGGGGGGCTCTCCCTGGAAATATTCAAAAGGGTCACCCCCCCCCCCCCGAATTAAGAAAACAAAATTCTTTATCTAAATGATGATTACCTATGAGAAATATTGTGGATATTACGATAAGACTAAGATTTGCCTGTTGAATCGAAATGCACTGCTCTAAAAACCAAAGTTCCAAACCGCTAAACTTTGTTCGGTCAGTGAACAAAATAATGAACATGATTTACCGAGAAAGTCACTCGAATTCAAAGTTTTCATACTGCAAAGTAAAAATCTTGTAGTTCGGTAGGGCCGCGTCAATAAACCAAGTTACCCCCCCCCCCCCCCCCCCCCCCCATTCCTTTCTCGCGCGACTCTCCGGCCGTGAAAAAATTGTCGCCCCTGGACCCTGTCCCGGCCGCGTATATAGCTTTTACACAAGCACCGACACCCCCTCCCCCCCCCCCCCCCCCCCCCCCCCCCCCCCCCTCCCTCCCTCCCCCAACATATGTCTATATTCCTAGGCATGGTTTCACGAGACCATTGTAAGTACAAGTTCACCGACATCCAATGATGAACAATAAACGCGTTTCAATGGAATGTCGATGTACTGTGACGCTTGCTTGAAACGCTGCCCTGTAGTCGGGGATTCCCCCAACCATGTTCCCCAAAGCGCGCGTGCAACATGTGCCTAAGCTCCTGAAAAAAATTGTGCTTTCGTGTAGCTAGCCGCACAGTACGTATTCAATATGATGACACTCGAGGATCTAGATAGCTGGCTGGCTGTACAGATCGATACGGTACTTCTCTTCCACATACGCTATACGTCTCGACTCTAGCTCTACGGCCGAAGTTCCCGCGAATCACATTCTACACGTTCGGCGATAGTTGTTTGATGATTTAAATAGAAGTAAGTCGAAGACTGTGCTAACAACAACATGGGGATTCCAAAGCCACATTCAGAAGGAGATCTAGATGCTGAAGTGTCTGAAGGTAAAGTCAAAGATCATGACACTGCAAGTGCAAGGTCTTCTGAAAACAGCGAGGTACGTACAAAGCGCTGAATCCTATTTCTTGAGAAACGCCGCGCCGTAGTTGACATACAGCTACATAGTACATGTAGAGTCCATTATTTCAAATGTAATTAGATTGAGATGCTTGCACATTGACAGTGGTCAGTACCTTTAATAATATAGAGAATACACCGGACGATGGCTTTGTGGCTGTAGTAGTAGAGGAGGAGGAAGAAGAAGAAGGAGAAGGAGAATTTAGGTGAAGGAGAAGGAGGGGGAGAGGAAGAGGAAAAGGAAGAAGAAGAAGAAGAAGAAGAAGAAGCTCAGTCGGTAGAGCAGTAGTCTCGTAATCCGGTGACCCGGGTTCGAAACCAAGTCGATGCGTTATTGCCCTTTGGTAAGGCATTAATCCTCATTACCAGGTCCTTCAGAGAGGACCTAAAGCCGTCGGCCGTCTGGTTGCTTAACCCTAATAAGGCCGGGCTATTTGAAGTCTTACTACGGCCGGGGGAGGGGGGCCATTATGGCCCCCCCCCCTAAGATCTCGGCCGTGAAACGGCCGATCTCCGCGAAAATTTGCACGCATGTCAAGTGAAGTGTATAGAACAATATGATAATTTCAATTTTTTGAAAAAAATCCCTCATTTGCATATTTATGGTAATTATGCAAATAACGTCATAAAATCACATTTTTACCCATAAATCCTATATTATTCATATTTAAGCATTCTTTTTCACTACATATATTCATTAGCCCATTTGGAACAATAATACAAAAAAATTTTTTGGAAGAGCCAGCTTATTCCTTATGTTATCTCTTGTTTTGATAATTTCTTATGTATTTCATTGTTTTTTTAACTTATTTATGTTATTGTTTTTTTTTTTTTTTCATTTCTTCCTACAATTCAACTATTTTGACTCCCAAAACAACCACCTAAACTTTAAACAAGACCCAATAACCAATGTTTGATCTATTTTTAGGAAAAATGACATTTCCATATGTTTTGTACACAAATCACAAAAATGAGCGATTTTCGGGCTGACATGCAAAGACAAAAGGTCACGTGACCTTGTAACTATAGGTCCGATTTTTTTAATTTTTTTTTTAAAAGATGCGCAAGACTCTAAGGAAAAAAGTCAGCGAGTGGCGGTCGAGGCGCCATCCATATGCGTTCTCGAACAATCAGAAAAATCGTGGAGGGGGGGGGGGCCATAATGGCCCCCCCCCCCCCCCCCCGGCCTTATTAGGGTTAAACAAGCATTTCTTAGAAGTCAGGTAAAATAACATCCACCACCACACTAAGTTCTATTGCTGATCATCCATTGCCTGGTGTTAAAATGAACTGTGCGATGTATTTTTCTCAGAATTAAGCACAATTTTAGTACTGTACATCCCTCATTTAAAGGCAGTATCATGGACTCCAGTCCATGGTGCATTCTTAGCAAAGAATATCAAATCTTAGCAATCAATATCAAACATTTTTCTTCTGTTTTCTCATTTGTTTATCAGGATTTAGGTGTGGCCTTTTCTTGCAGCAAGTGGTGTAAGCGTCAGCTGAGCCCAGATGAGATCATTGAAGATTTCCTCAAACGTTGTGATGAAGGTAATCAAATCAGTCTTCTTCTTCTTCAAGATAATCTGCCTCCTTCAATACTGAAGATTCTTGCAGATGCCGTATATACTTGGCCTGATTGGGGTGTGCAGGTGGACCATTACACCAGGGTTTCCCCCTACTCTTATACGAATAGTGCAATGGGTTCTTAACGCGCAAAGGTGGTGACTCTCCTGTACACAGGGCCTCCATTTAACGTCCTATCCGAGGGACAGAGTGTTTTCCACTTAACATAGCCTGCGTCTATGAACAAGGGAAGGGGCACGTTAACACACAACGCAGGCTTCAGTCATCCACTTGGATGGGGGTCGAACCTGGGATCTTTGGTTCGACAGGCAGACGCTTTACTGACTGAGCCAACTTGCCTCCTCTACTAGTGTTCAAATAGTGATTGCTTTGAGGGGCATGGTTTAAAGCCTATCTGCACTAGTTTAACCAGGAGGGATTAGACCTCCCTGCCTGGTCACTGAGAAGGTGGTTATCTCATCAAATCAGCTCTCAATTAAAGTAACAAAAAGGGGACCATGGGGGACCAACGGGTACCGCTTAGGCATTGTTTACTATAGAAGGTGCAAAGAGCTACAAGTAGTGTAGTCCTGCTTTAATTAAATTATTCCCCAAAGATGGTCTTGAATTTACATTATCCCTGATACAAAGTTGAGGAGCACAGTACAATAACAGTTTCACGATCATCGAGGAGCTATAATTTTAACTGAGGCTCTACCCTGTGCATATAAAGTTTAAACCCACAATATTATAGTTATTATTATTATTCTTTTTAAATATTATTATTCTATTATTATTGTTATTTCTTTTCTTACTGATAATACTGTTATAAATTGCTGTTGGGTGTTTTTGTGGTTATTAGAATCTGTGTCATACTCATAATAATATGTATTGTGTTTTGATTAGTAATTTGTTTTCTTAATATTCATTTTCATTTACAGAATCAGCAAATTTTGTGGCAGAGGGTGCTTTCCAATCACAGCTAAACTTAGAATATGGAGCAGAGGAAAGGGAGAAAGTAGACATATTTTCACCAAAATCAGCTGATAAAGGTATTACATAGTTTTTAAAGGCATCGTTTAACAATGTTAAATCTGAGATGCATGGCCCTACACCTGTTACCAGTGTCTTTGATATGGTGATATATTGAAGACCTAAAAAATTATCTTCAAAATATGATCATGAAGTGCGTAAAAAAAGAAAAAATCTTTGAGCGACCGATTTACCATACCGTATTTGTCGGCGTAAAGGCCGCAGTATTTTTGGAAGAGAAAATATCAAAAAGTTGGGGTGCGGCCTTGGCGGCGAAAGAGTAAAAAAAAAAAGATCGCAAGTCAAAAACACGAATTTGTACATATGGGACAACGATGAAAGGTGATGGACATTTCTAGAATAACACATCTCTTACCGACAATTATGTGTTATATTTTTTAAATGAAGGGCTACGTTTTGTCAATCTCGTAAATAAAACTTATAACTTAACAACCAAACTCTACTGGTAGATCTAGATCTAAGTTTTTGCCATAGCTAAAGCAACCTCAATCCTCAGATCATGCGAACAAAGCTATGGTGCAATGCAATACATAAGAGAAAGCTGCATGGGAACGCATCAGAGTCGGGATAGCCTAGGCGGTGGTTTCGGGTCCCAATCTACATTTGTACTCAAGAGTTCGAATCCCACCTTCGACAATTAAAAAAAAATTAAAAAAATTAAAATAAAAATTTAATGCCAAAATCAGGGGTGCAGCCTTATCACCGGCAAAAACGGTATTCATTTTACCCAATAGACTGTAGTGTTTTAAAAAACATTAAGAAAACGGTTTTTGAAATTTTGATGTCCAATCATAAAGTTCTTGATAATCAGATAGGTGATCGGCTTGTAAAAGTCGTGGGGTTCCTGACTGACCTAAAGGTTTATAATTGTCATTGCATCATGTGCTAAATCCAGGATTTTGTTTTAGAATCTGAGACAAAGATACCCAATCCCTTTAAGTAGCGCATCATAATTATTGTATTTTGTTATAGATAACAAACTTTATGAAATGGGGCCCAGTAAATGGCATTGGCTATCAAGATTTTTATGTCACATTAATCAATGTAATGACCTTCTTTTTTAATTGATGTTATCAGATGCACCTGTGTTTATGTTTCTACATGGAGGCTACTGGCAAGCAGAGCAATTAAGGTGAATTTCTTGTCCACAAGTATACCATTCACAAGAATTTTTTTTTGCTCTGTATGTGTGTTAGGGGTTCCATGTTGTTATTCAAAATTTGGGCTTTTAATATCATTTCTATAAAGAGATATTGTGAGTTCAAATATAATCTCAATAAACACAAAAAATGACTGGTGATTAGTCTAATCGACACCTGGACATGTCGGTTGCTCTAGTGGCACCTTCACTTGGTCAGCTCTCTGTCTACGCCTACAAACTGACTCAGGCGACCCCGGTTAGAAACTGAGTCACGTCTTTCAGTTGGTGATGTTAAAGGTCGGTCCCCAGACGTAAATAATCATTGATACACGTCTGTATAAACACAATTACTTGCACACACGTACGCACATGCTTGCAGTAGAAATAGGTTGAAGACGGAAACGAAGTTAGACTCGGTTGAGTTTCGTACGTCATATTTAAAGTTATCCTTTATTTACTTTAATTTACTCCGTATTTTTAAACTGTATTAACCAATATAATGCCAGGTTAAATATTTGTAGGTTGACTTTACTCATTCAGTCGTTGCAACTTTTTCTTCTTAACAAGTTTTATCATACATAACCCTTCTCTCAATGTGACCTTTGACATTTTGTCTGTTTGTTTTTTGCTGCCAGTAAGGATAATAACTCTCTACTTGGAGCTCCGCTCGTCAAGAATGGTGCCGTATTGGTCACCGTTGGATACTCTTTAGCGCCTGAGTGTAAGTGTTGCCATTTTGGAGATTTCATTCAAACTTTCACCAGTATGCTTTTTTGATTTTTCTGCTTTCTTCTAGAGTACTAGTACAGGTAGTTAGCTATCATGGTTCAATACCATTTACATTTACATTTTCAATCAAAATTCTTTTTTTTCCACAAGTCATTAAAAGCGTACTGGTACTTCATAATAAATAATTTGTTATTATTAAATTCTAGTCATTTCATTCATTTTAAATGGTCTTCTCCTAGACAAATATCTAGAACTGTGAGCACATAATATGCTAAAGCAGTGGATTTAAATTTGTTGTGGAAAGATTACCATATTTCTTTTTTGATTTTTCAGGTACCCTACATGAAATGGTCGAACAGGTTAAAAAGGCTGTGGTTTTTGTGGCCAAAAGATTTCCAGATACTAGGTAAGAGGAAAAAAACCAACATGAGATAGATAGGCGTAGTGTGCTTCACAGATCTGTATCTTTTAACACACAGATAAGAAACTATGCATAGGACCTTTGTTGTGTGCGACTGCATTTTTTTCAGACACTAGCTTGCCATTCACTTTGACCTTTGTGGTGTGCTTCGTCATACAAGTATGTGAACAGGTTTTACTTGTAAATTTCTGTGATTGCGTTATGCTTTTAAATTTATGGGTTGTTTTATTATTAGAGTTCACAGAATGGCTCAAACTGAAACCAAAAAAAAAAATGATTAGAAATAATTCTTCTTAACCATTACTCATGGAATGGGGGACTGTGTGCTGGCATACAAACAATACATTGCTCTGAGTTCAATAGATTACTATATAGCTTACAAGGTAATATTGAGGTAATATTATTTAATTGTTTAAATTTATTCCAGCCCAATAATAATAATAATAATAATACTCAGTTTTTATATAGCGCAAATTACAATTAAGTCTCTAAGCGCTGTGGAAATACAAAAAAAATCAAGAAGTGAGTTCAGAAGAAATGAAATGATAAGAACATAATAAGTAATGGAAGAGTAGGTTTTGGACTATGGAGAAGTAACATTGTGTGTTTATTCATTATAATCCACCAAAATAGAGCTTGTTCTTAGTGCGATGAAATGTGGACTGTTTGTTTTGTATGAAGTTGTAGCTGTCAAGTACAATAAAATGGTGGCTCATTTATTTGTCAACCGAGAGGAGGCGTGATAGCTCAGTTGGTAGAGCAGGGGTCTCGTAATCCGGTGACCCGGGTTCAAAACCCAAGTCGATGCGCTAGTGCCCTTTGGTAAGGCATTAATTCTCATTACCAGGTCCCTCGGAGAGGACCTAAAGCCGTCGGCCGTCTGGTTGCTTACTAACAAGCATTTGTGCTTTCTTAGCAGTCAGGTAAAATAACCACAACCACAATGCTATGTCTTGCCATATGTGTGTACTTTCTTATAAATGACAATGGAACTCCTGAATTGGGATACAGAATTTACTTTCAATTCAAAATGAAATGTCTCTTTAATTCAAATTGAATTGTTTATATCTTTCTGTTCACAGAGGGATTTTCATATCTGGTCACTCAGCTGGTGGTCATCTGGCAGCCATGATGCTGTCCGTAGACTGGTCAAGCCTTCTAGAGGGCAGCAAGAATGTTGTCAAAGGTGATGGTCAAATATAATCTTCCAAAATTGGATCCAGTAACAGTTGCTCCAGGCATAGCTTTGCCAAAAGTATATGGTTAGATTTCTGGTTGCAATTTGGGTTTTAACACGTTAGTTGCTTTCTTTACCTCTCTGCCGGCATGGTCCCTTGTTTGCTACATGTGCAATTTTGCACAAAACAATTCATATGGGCACCAGTTGACGGAAGGATTGCTTTGTGTAACACAATGGCTTTGCAAAAGTATTATTTTTCGGTCTTGATTAGCTCCATGAAATCCACTTTAACACCAGTATAGATTAATCTTGCACTGGATACACTTAAATAATCTTGATGCCATAGGTCAAAGATCATAGTCGTTAGTTGACCTGTAATTATGTCTTGTTTTGTCTTGTTGTTTATTTTTTGACTGTAGGTATCCTTCCTATGTCCGGTATATATGATGTTCGACCTATTACAAAAACTTACATTAACGAGCCAATGTTACTTACAGAGTAAGTATTATCAGCATTATCAGTTCTTATGATATCGTGAAAATGTAAATGTAAGCCACCCCATGCGTTTGAGTTTTAAAGTGTTGTTTTGTTTGTGTTTGCTTTTTGCAGTTATATTTTATTTTACACTGTAAAAATAATTGTGGTTCAAATCTAAGTAAGCCTTTATACTTTATTTTTAATCTCCACTTGATGATTCTCCCTCTTTCCGCCTCTTGAAATCATGTTAATCTCTACTACTCATATGGAAAAGCTTGTTACTCATGTATTATTTTGCAGCTCAGTAGTTTTCTCTATCTTTCTTTTATCATAGCCTTTTGGTAGATATCAGATATTTATGATTCAGGGAACAGCTTGTTTGATTGTATTAGAATTCCCGGCATTGCCAGATTAAAAGATTTTAATTTCTTTATTATTTTTCCAGTTCATCTACCTTTACATTGTATTTTGGCAAATATTTCTTTTAGTCTAAAAAATTCATTGACATTTTTGTCCATTTGATGAGAATTTGATTTGTATGATTCTTTCAGAATTTCCATGATTCCCAGAACTGAAGATTACCTTTAATCGTTCTGCAGGTCTAGTGCATCTTCTGTGAGCCCTCTTCTTCTTGTGGATGCTATCCCAAAATGTAATCTTGAGGTCAAAGTTCACATCCTGGTAGCCGAGTATGATCCACCTGTTCTTCAAATACAAGCACAAGACTACAGCAAGGTGTGTATGGTGTAATTATATTGCAATTTATGAACTTGCCTTACTTTGAATATGAACAGTTCAATTACAAAAGGAGCTAAATCCACTTTTGATGAAAATTGAGTTATTGATATATGAACATTGTTTACTTCAGTACCCGTCTTTCAACAAAAGAATTTACCTAAATTTTGGGAGCAATAAGGAAAAATGCACTTCTAATATCACTTTTCCGTAGACGCCTGTACATAATCTGGTAAACAAATTATTTTTTCTCCCAAGTTACAAAAATGGATTTAGCTCCTTTTGGAATTAAACTCCCCATCAAGTGATTGGTTGAACAGTCTTGTTTTTTTTAAAACCTTAATTACTAGTTAGTATCCAGTAGTTGGTAGTGTGTGTTGTCCATAGTTTTACCTTTATTCTTTATTTCTTGCACTGGAGCTCATGTTTCAGAGAATGGCAATGATTTTATTCTAAAATTAGTCCGTGAAAAGTGTTTGCATTGTTATTTTATCAATATTATGCAGATGTATAACGGTTTATGCAATGTGCTCCAGTGTGTGTATAGCGGTAACATCAGTGCATTTATACTGTGTATGCATGGGCTGAAGCTAGCATCTTGAATTTGCATTCATGAACTAATTTTAGATTGTCTTATTCTTTAAATCAAATGAGAAATTTTTTGTTGTGTTTAAGTGATGTACAGTTAACAACTAAATTATTCATAACCTTACCAAACTCTGTACTTGTATATACATGTATGTGTGAAAAATTGATTATTAAGAGAAAGTGACATATTAAAGCTTACATATCAAAATATTCTTCAAAGGCCCTAATCCAATCAGTCCACCTTTCAGTAAAATTTACAAGGGGTATGAATATTTGAGTTGTCAACTGTACCTCTTTATATCTTCATATCCATCTAAGGTATACTCAAAATGAATATTTTGTATGATAGATGTATTCGCTCATGTTGCTCAATAGGCATTACAAACTTCGCAACTATGTACATAAGAGATAAGAGACTGCAAATTTGGATTGATTGGAGGACTTGCGATTGATTTGGATCAATCACAACACTTTATAAGATGGGGCCCTGATATATTTTCTAATATGACATTATTAAACTGTGGATAAGATGGTAACAAAGTGCTTCATCTTTCTTTCCTGGTAGCTACTATCATCTCTTGGACTAGATGTTGAGACGATGACGTTACCTGGTAAAGATCATTTTGAGGAGATGACAGACTTATCTGATGAAAACTGCCCATTTCAAAAGGTATGTCATTGATCCTTTATGCGACACATACAAATTACCCATTAGTTTTCAAAATGAAGGTTTTCTCCAGTTACCTGTAACATGTCACACTCTTGGTTAATGATTTATTTAATTTATCCATTTATTTCATGAAAAAGAAATAAAATACAGTGACATGATTGTGTACTCTAATGGGTCTTCTTAGAATCTCTAACATAAAATGAAACAATTTTTTTTCCAGAGATTTTTCATTCTTCGATGAAATACATGTAAAGTGAGGGAAAAAAGAAAAGTGTTGTAAAGGACACCTTGCATGGTATCGCTAATTTGTATTTTTGTGAAGGATTAGGCCGAGTAATACCACCGTCTCTGTCATTTTACTACCCTCAGGTCTTCCTTCAAGCGATGGGTTTGACATCATGATGGCCATCCTCCAAGTAAAGTGAACTTCCGTGGTAATATTTATATTGATAAAGTAGTCAAGTAGAAGTTCAAATTATGGTTAGGGCATAATTATATATTCCCCTTTGGCCTTAGGAGGATATCATAGTATCCAATTGGTGTAGAGCACCAATATCTAGGTGCTTAATCAGCGGCGCAGATGAGACTGAAAAATGACTGACTATCCTGTCCATGATTCTCCTCGGGGAAGACTTGGATAATGGCTAGTTGTAAGCAATGTGGAATAGGCAAAGTAGCAATATAATACGAAAAGGACTGCTCTGGAAATGACCTTATACAGTATTCCAAATATGACTGCAAGTAGTACTATTATATTGACCAAAGTTAGATGCTGCAAGGGTGTACAGTCCCATATACAGTTAAACATGTCTGTGTGGCTGCCTCTATATAAAGGCCACCTGTTCAAAGTGGCCATGTATTTTGTGTCTTTAGAGATGAAGTTGAGTGAACTTCTGTAGTACTATATTAGTAACATACATGCAGAGAGGTAGAGTTGTGGTTGAGGATAAAAGTTTGATGCCACAAAAGTATACATTCCCATATACAGTTAAACATGTCTTTGTGGCTGCCTCGATTATGTAATAGCTACCTGTTTACAGTGGCCATGTATTTTGTCTCCCCTGAGAAAACATGTGCCAGTATCTTGTACAACCTGTCTAGAAAGGCCAGCTACCAATATTGGCCTTGTATTTATCTCTCAAGAAAGGAATTTGGGTTGTAGAACCTGTTTAGAAAGGCCACCTGTCTACAGTGGCCACCTTTTCTGTTTTCCTTGGGTGACCTTAATAGACAGATTTCTCTGTACATGTACATATATACCCATGTCTTTATGCAGTGCTTTTCAAAACTGATTTACAGCATGATGTATATATATTGGTATCATTTTGATGATTCTAAAACCTCAAAATACTCAATTATTTTAATTTACCATGCAATAAAAACCATTCTCAATAACTGCTTTCACATTGTGAAGCATTCTTGCTTATGATAGCTGGCCTCGGCATTTATTTAGATTCTTTGATTTACCTCCATAAAATATATATATATATATATATATATATACCGATCTATATATTTATTTATTTTGGGGGGTATTTCAATTGTCACGTTTTAAACCAATGTTATTATATACAATTATTGTTAATTGAATACTTTTAACATTTGTTTTCAAATGTGAATAATGGCAACTCTATGGATGGAATCCACTTTGCATACATTAGTTGTTGCTATGTCGGGGAAGAGTCTGGCAAGGTATTTTAGGTGTCAACCAAAACTTTGGTTTAAAGAGTATACATAAAACTAATAGTAAGCAGCTCTATTGAAGAATGGAATTGAACTATACTTAATGTAATTCTTTTTTAAGCAGATGTAAAAATATTAACAATTTTGAACAGTATTTGTCAGAGTGGATCTGAATGTGTGATTGTGTATTCATCAAATGGCTGAAAGTCATTTCATTTGTGTGAAATTATTTCAAAGAGAAAATCCAAACTTAATTATGTGTTTTTAATAAGAACTTGAAATGTGATACATCAGTATTTTATATTCTTGTAAAGATATGAGAAATTATATTAATATTTGATAAAAAAACGTTATTCAGAGTTCTTGTTTTTGTCATTCAGTATTGTTGTTCGATCATCCTGTGGCATGAAACTGTCATTAATCTGGGGAGTGTTTCACAAAGATCGACTTTAAGTTGGACTTAACTATGGCAGGCTGTTCATGCCACTATTTGCTCTCACCGTTTACTGGCATTGGTCCCTCAAGGGACATACAAATTATGGTCACAGATCTACAGAATTTACATTTTTTGATAACTTAGTATTGAAGGAAAAATATCTAAAGATCATAATGGTGAGAGTGAACGGCCTGCCATAGTTAAGTCAAACTTAAGTTGATCTTAGTTTTTGTGAAACACCCTCCTGGACCCTTTGTATAATTAGTAAAAGTGCTAAGGTTTTACAATAAATCAGCTACAAAACGTCTACGCAGAGGGCCCTTGTGTCACTAACTAGGAGTGATGGCTCAGTGGTAGAGCAGGGGTCTCATAAACGGGAAGGTCCCAGATTCAAAACCAAGTCAATATGCTATTGCCCTTTGGTAGGGGATGAAGTCTTGTTCAGATATGATTTGGTCTTTTTACCTGTAAATAAAGATGTTGTATTGCCCTTGGCGACCGACCCCAAAATCTTGAAATCTACGGTCGGCTTAAAAAAAAAAAAATTAAACCGTTTTTTAGTAAAAAAAAAATAAATATTAAAGCATCATCATAATAAGCCCAAAGAGGGAGAAAGAAAAAAAAGTTAAAAAAAAAAAAAATTCTGACCGACCGACCGACCCATGTTTTGGCACCTAAATAGCACCTGTGCACAATGACCCTTCATTGTGTATTCACTTTACATGTAGGTCTGTGTTGTCAGATACAGAAATGTAAAGCATATTTTGCAGGCTTTAATTGTCATTACCAAGTCCCTCAGAGTTGACTTAAGGCTGTCAGTTCCTTGGTTGCTTACTTATAAGCATACACAAACTTCTTAGCAGTCGGGTTAGGAAACAAGATACACCATCAAAACATCAAACTTAAATATGTGCACAAAGTCATGAAGATCAGGAGGTACTTTTAATTGTGAAGTTTTATTTCAAGTGCCTTCATTGCATAGTATACAATTATAAATAGTTGCATTCTAGTTTTTCATAAAACGGGTAAAAGATAGCAATATAGGGAGAGTTGATAAGGGTCAAAAGGGAAAGGGGAGAAAGAGAGATGGCTCAGGATGGCAAGGGAGGGACAGCGAGAGAGAGAGAGAGAGAGAGAGAGAGAGAGAAGACGTCTACATATACTTGATAATATACAAGTTTTGAACAATTTTTAAAAAAATCCGTGTCAACGGAAAAATAACATTCTATTTCAATTGATTGAAAACTAAAGAAAACACATATTAACTGGACAATATACCTTGTAAATAAAATTGTTTGACATCTATCCTATAGGTAATTCATCGGACATCATTGTTATTTCTAAATAATACATGTTAACAAATGCTTCAATGTGTTAATTAGTGAACAAAAGATATCTACCTGTGCTAAGACGACAGTTTCCAAATAACGAATATGCAATTATATAAAGATAACTCAATAAGTAATAGGAGCAAAATATTTATTTATGACAAAGATTTCAGGAGATGAATATTTCAGTTACATAACGAAAATTAGCGTAGTACGAGAAAGCAAGAACATAATTTATATACATTATCATAACAATCCATTAATTGAGAAGTTTTTCATAGGCCTATACACCGGTGAATATAAATGCACGTAATTGATTTGGCAATTCATCCGTAGTCACCCCTATCGGAAAGAGAGGATTTAGAGTTGCATCAATACACTGTATAATATTATTCTAAAGAATGAGTACTTTAAAAACGTACAATTTTCCTCCTATAAAATGTGTCTCTTTACCCATCTACATTCTCGTAAAAAAATATATGCATTGTCATAGCAATAAATGAATTGCGTAGATTTTATAGGCCTACACCGGCGAATATTGATGCACATAACTGATTTGGCATTTCATCTGTCACCCCTATCGGCAAGAGAAGATCATGAGTTGAATCAATATGATAATACACTGAAGAATGAGAAATAAAAACATACATTATTCCTTCTATGGGATGTATCTCTTAACCCATCTCCATTCTAAAATTAAATATATATATATATATATATTTTTTTTTTTCATATAGTAATAATTAATTGCGTAGAATTTATACGCCTACACCGGCGAATATAAAATTATCTTTTTATACCCATCTTCATTCTCTTTTAAAAGAGGTGCATATAACCTTGAATCATAATAAAGTAAACGATTCATATTACCAATCAAAAGTATTCCCTGTTAAGGCTTTATCTCTCTGATTTTCTTCTCTCTTCTATTGCTTAGCATCGCTCTTGTTTTCGTTTCCTCTTTTCCTCTTCATTTCCTTTCCTTGCCCATTCCTTTCCCTCTCAGAATGCCTTCAAGTCTGAAGATTGGCATGGGATCTGTCATAAAAAAGTGAGAACGAAGCGCGATTCCAAAATAAGACGTGAATCTGCTTTCAACCAATCAGGATCACTCATAAAGGCTCGTTCAGATAAGACGCGGTAAATCACCGCAAAAAAAAAAAAAAGTCGCTGTATGTTTTTTTAATTTTTTTTGTTGGTACTATACAGTCATGTAAAAATGTAATTGAATGGTAACTGCACGCAACAAAAGTTCTACGCATATTCACAGCTCTATTATGTTATAAGATACATAAATTTGGAAGCGTATTACACTTGACGTCATCATAAAAAATATTTAAAAAACCGCCGCGGCTGACCGCTTCGTGTCTGAACGAGACTTTAGTTCAAGAGCTAGTGGACTTACTCTGTAAATTATGACCGGTTATGATACTCGTTCTTTCCTTCTTTTAAGATATATCCTCTGTACACTATTCGTTCTGATTATGATTCGATTCAGTATCATCTTCCCCGTTTTCCTTTATTTCTTTTTCTCTTGCTATCCTCCTCGTCTTTCTCTTCGCTTCTAAAATCTCTTCGACGCATTTTCTTCGCCGCTCGATCTTCTTGCGGATGTCGTCGAGTTCCGCGAAATGTCCGCTGCGCAGAGCGCTGATCTTGAGTTTCTTGGCCAGCGTGTTCACCAGGAATTGTTTCCTGATCGATTCGATGTCCGTCCCGCTGGCGTATGGGTCGAGCGCGTTCCTGCTCGCCTCCTCGAACTCCAACATGAACTTGGTGTTCAGCGCCATCTCATCCATTGGGGCCCCACCGCCTCCTTCGGCGCCGGAATCGCGGCCCTTCTTCTGCGAATCCAGCTGGTTTCTGTGCCCCATTTTGGACGATCTCAGCTTCGATTTAAACGTCGGTGGCTGAGGCTTCCTAGCGCGCCGATAAATGCGGTCACCCCGGACCGACCCACCTAAATCTGGGACATCGTTGACGAACACCGTAGAGTTCTTGCTGGACGGACTCTCTGCTCGGAAGTGCGATTCAGGGATCTTAAACCGATTGAGAGGGCTGAGCTGTCGTCTGCGGAGCACGGGTGCGGAGACGTTCACTTTGATATCACGAGGAGAACTCGGATTGGCAGCACTTCGAGGAGAATCCTGATCCGGACTTGTCCTTTCAGACATCACTTTCTCGTCTGACTTCAAAGCTTCAGACCCCTGGTCTGACATATTGAAGTGGGCTTCGGACGGACTTATCACACGGGGTCTCGGTGAATTCGGCCGACTCGAGAACTTGGGTGCCGAGTCATCTTCGGACGGGCATGGAGAGTATATGATGGGTAGGAGGGAATCCCTGTGTATCCGTAGCTTTCGTCGGTTCATCTGTGCCACCAGGAGAATCTCAGGGTTCTCCTCAGCTTTGTCCTGGACACCAGATGCTGCTTCCGTCGTCACTTGATCCAACGTCGTGATGGTCATCGTTTCTTGTCCTGATCCATCCAGATACTCATCGTAGGTATCGTACTGACTGGTCTCGTCTTCATGCTCGTCTCGGTTTACCGTCTCGACGTCGACGACGTGTGACTTTCGCTGGGCGACGATGTCGCACTGCCTTTGGAAGATCTCCACGAA